CTTCGGCGAGGAAGAAGGGCAGGTGGGTCCTTGGCGACTGCATTTACTGATTGAGACAATTGCTGCTGCACTTGCATGGATTCTTTCGCTGCTATCTCATCAGCGATTGCCACTTGCATCGCTTGCTGGAAGGTGCGATCTTCACTTAAAAGCTTTTTACAAGTAGCTGGATTGCGAATCCCACAAACAAACTGGTCGCAAAGCGAACAATTTAAGAACTCATCAAAATTACAACTGGAGGCAAGATGTCGTAAACGAGCACTGTACACAGAAACAGTTTCATTCTCTTCTTGAAAACAACGGTGAAATCGGTACAATTCTGCAACTTCTAATCATTTAGGTTTGAAATATCGCTCAAGTAACTCACATAACTGCTCGCATGTCTTGTCCTTTCGATTTTCTGGACTGCACAAATCTCTAAGTGTTCCGTATGTCTTCTTGCTGATAACTGAAATCATCACTGCAACCTTCTTCTTGTTCGCAGCTGCTTTAACTGCCTCAGAAGCCTCTGAAGAGTAATGGCCAATACTATTCGCAGCAAAATACTGTTCAAGTTGTTCATGATAAGCCATAAAAGTCCCCATAGAAATATCGAACTCCCCAATGGAACCAACTAGCGGCAAAGCCATAATGCAAGCAACAACGTGTATGGACAACTGAAACGCAGAGAAGAACTTCGGAATTTTCAAAATCGTCATGAAGACAACAACATATCATTGGAGTATCCCATCCTCGTCGCCAGATGTTGTAAACGGATAATAATTATCGAGGACACAAGGAAACGCAACTCAACTCTCTTTTATCTGAACATTCTGAACATCCGAATTGTACATGTCACTGCACATGTGCAGTCCTAACAGTCTGAAGAATACCTATTATGTAACAGATATTTTGATTACTTTTCTGGTTTGTTTTTGATGCATAGTTAAACTTTGAGTTTTGATAGAACGTGCATTCTCTTTACTAAAATAGTCACAACTTTTGAAAGAAGCAAACAATTAAGACTCCCCGGCACTGATTTTTGGCCTAGTCATTGGGCAAAGGTCTCCCTAAATTTCAGCAAAAAACATTGAAAACTCGCTGGAAACAAACTCAAAACATGTGCTTCACTCACTGAAATTTTCCTTTCGCAATATGAAGGAAAATATATACTTTGGGGTGTTCTTCCGGTGTAATGAGATGATTACACAAAACTATGAAAATAATGATGCCTTGATCGACTAAGTGAAGGCTCATTTTACGTTAACATAATTACAAAGGAGTCTCAAATATTGCCTCCAGTGGGAAATATCCTTTGCGAGATCTGAATTTCACCCTTTGTGCGCTCAGGTTAGTAAGAAAATTATTTTTGCTTAAGTTTCTTCCTTTTGATTTCTAAAACCCTTAGCTTAGATGTAGACAACGAAAGAGCCCACTCGTAAACAATGTGAAGGAAACCCAAGAGATACCACTTCAAACAGCAAAAGCGCCAAGGAAGTAATGCTTAGAAAATGTCAAACATCTTCCTCGTGCAGTGCAAGCAACTTCTCCTGCTCAAAGCAGGAACCTTTATCACTAGCAGCTAACGCATCAGCCCAATTTCGATCAAATGTTTTTGAGACCTTTTCTCGCGACTTTTTCCTCCGTGCTGCTTTCTTCATACTTGCAACTGGACATGCACTTTTGCTTTCTTCAACTACATATTTAAACTTAAATCAACAATCTACAAAAAGAGAACACCCAGACCAGCTCGTCGACTACACCATGCAAGCACAAACGTTTGGTAATCATTCATATGCAGCAATCTGTCACAAGACTTTTAATGCAAGTTTACTTCTTGTGACAACCTGTTGACAGCTATCAGTTTAAGATAATTAATGCAAAGAAACGTTTTTTGTTTGTAACTTTGCATAGAATCAATCTTTTTTCAAAGAATTTGTTTTTAACTTGAAGACTGTGAAATGAATGATTCCATAATTCACACTTTCCATAGCTGTAATTGGAGCCAGGTTTTCTTTTTAGAGGTCATATAAAATGGTTCAACAAAGAAAATGTCACCTCCATCAGTCTTTCACCAACTGAATTAATTTCTGGTATGAAAGTTGACACTTAGCGCAAGGAATCAAACATTATCAGAAAGTTAAACTTCAGGTTTTTATATGCCAAATATTATTTGTACGATCAGAAATTAAGACAATAATAATAATAATAATAATAATAATAATTTATTGATTTATAGTGCACTTTTTAACATACCAGGTGATCAAAAGTGCATTACAACAATAAATAACCTAAAACTATACAAGTATTAAAAATCTACATTTAAATTTAAAAATAATAGTAAAATAAACACTACATGATTTATTATATATACATATTTAAGAAATATTAAAAGCTAATTTAAAAAGATAAGTTTTAAGATTTGACTTAAAAGTGGAAATACATTTGATCATGCGGAGGCTAACAGGAAGAGCGTTCCACAGAGTGGGTGCAGCCACACTGAAGGATCTATCACCAAATGACTTTTTCATTCTCCCCGAAGGATGCTTTAATAAAACACCTTCAGTAGAGCGCAGCGAATAGCATGTAATAGTCTTAATATGAATTAAATCAATGATGTAACTAGGTGCCATGCCATAGAGGGCTTTGAAAGTAAGTAATAAAAATTTTAAATTAATTCTATATCTTACTGGTAACCAGTGTAAATTTATCAAAATGGGCGTAATATGGTAATACTTTTTACATGACATAAGTAGCCTAGCTGCAGCGTTTTGAACTCTTTGCAATTTAGCTATTTCACAGTCTGGTAGTCCATAGAGAAGTCCATTACAATAATCAATTTTACTTGTAACGAAGGCATGCAATACCATTTCTAATTTATCCCTAGGCAGAAAGTGGCTTATTCTCTTGATATTATGTAACCAGAAAAATGCCTCACTACAAGACTTAGAAATATGGTTCGACATAGAAAAATGCGAGTCGAACCAGGCGCCTAGATTACGCACTACCTTAACAGGCTTAATATCGATCATGCCAACATGGACTGAACAGTGATTAATTTTCAGCAACTGCTGTGTCGATCCGATAACAAGAAATTCAGTCTTATCATCGTTGATCTTTAACTTGTCCCGGTACATCCATTTACGTAAGTCACTAATGCATCGCTCCATAGCTTCCAATGCCTTCACTTGATNCCTTACTGGTAACCAGTGTAAATTTATCAAAATGGGTGTAATATGGTCATACTTTTTACATGACATAAGCAGCCTAGCTGCAGCGTTTTGTACTCTTTGCAATTTAGCTATTTCACAGTCTAGTAGTCCATAGAGAAGTCCATTACAATAATCAATTCTACTTGTGATGAAGGCATGCAATACCATTTCTAATTTATCCCTAGGCAGAAAGTGGCTTATTCTCTTGATATTATGTAACCAGAAAAATGCCGCATTACAAGACTTAGAAATATGGGTCGACATAGAAAAATGCGAGTCGAACCAGGCGCCTAGATTACGCACCACCTTAACAGGCTTAATATCAATTATGCCAACACGGACTGAACTGTGATTAATTTTCAGCAACTGTTGTCTCGATCCGATAACAAGAAATTCATCTGACACTGATGATCCTGTCTGTAGTGGGGTTCCATTTCATCACTCATCAGCAGCACTGTTCATCACATCGTGGCATCCTTTGTCACCTTCAGAATAGATGATTGTCTTTCCTGTCATTGTCCTGGCCTCCCCAAAACCTGTCTACCTCTTATCTTATTCAGGTCAGGAATGCTCAGTTTGTACCTTCTTGCTTCCTTCATAAGTGTTGCTGTCTTTCCAATGACATACGCTGTTCTGATGTTCCAGCTTCCTACATTGAAGAAGTCTTTGGACGCAAGCAAGGAATGTTTTATGCAACCTTGTCATGCTTCTTGCTTCTTTATGGCTTTCACCTGGAGCAGTCATAGCGACTAGTTGTCACTCCACTGTATAGAAACTGTATATCATGGCTACATGTTTTTCTGTATCTTAATTTAATCTCCCTTTTCCTTATATTTTTGCTCTATCCCTTTCTTAATTCCTGAAGTCATTAAGAATCTTTTGTGTCAATGTCTGATCAGGAAAAAAATTGGTTTGTCATAAACAGTAAAATAGTTTTTTCTGAAAAAAGATAATTATTGTTTTCCTGTTGATAACTACTCTTTTAGAGGGTGCTATTGTTGATTTTCCCTGTATTTGGACCATTTCATTTTTGATAAGGTGGTAATTGCAAAGAAGAGGTTCTGAAACCAACTGTCAGTAAGCTGTCAGCTGACAGGTTACTGGCAAGCTACTAAACCGACAGGTTACCGACAGTTTTCTAAAACAAAAAGTTTGCTGTAGAATAGACAGGAATAGAGTATTATACCCAATCAAAAAAGTTGTTTAAAAAACCCCAGAACAATAATTGTTTTCTTTTGTATTACTAATTATTAGTAACACTTCTCATCACAAAATTACTGATCTATGCTCATCATAGAAAATATTGATCGTGAAATATTCTTTAAACCATATAAGCATAAACCACCGCATAACTCTTTCTTGTACAATGCAATTCAAACCCTGACAATTTTAGGGGGCATGGTACTTAGTCGATCTTTCTAATATGGTGGCAAAAATGGCTTTACTTTATTTGTATAAATACTCTGGTCGTTTTCTGCAGCGCTGGCGCTGGGCATAAGCAGTGATTACCAAAACTCAGAAGGTCATACTTTTCTATTCAATTTATTATATATCTCAGGTGCTGTATGGAGAAACAACATCAGATCACCAACTGCTGGCCAACTGTTGGTCTGTGTTTTGGCCAAACCTGTCAGCCATCTTGTCAGACGACAGTTGGCCAACAGTCGACTTACAGATGGCTGACAAACAGCCAACAGTTGGACAACAGACGGCCGACAGTCGGCAACAGGTCTTTTTCAGGAGCAGTTCTTCACAGTTACTTATATGGTTAAGGTTCTAGAAAAGCTTTGCCTTTATTTTTTCTCACAGGGACTTAAAACCTCAGAACCTGTTGATTAATGAGGTTGGGGAACTAAAACTAGCTGATTTTGGTGAGTAATGAGATGTTTCTCTAGTAGACTGTCACAATTATAGTAAAGTGTACATGACATGACAAATAATTTCTGCTTACTAGAAAGGCCTTTCAAACTACAGAAGAATGGCATTTTTCTTTTCGAAATATGTTTTTTCGTTTTAGAGATATTGACATTTATCTGTTATGCAAATTAAAGCAGTGATGACGTCATATTGTTTGCAACTAAAAAATGGTAAATACTGAATAAACAATATCCCTAGAAATATTGAAGCAGTGTTCTTGAAATTTGGCACCACAAATGTGCATCACAAAAGAAACAAAATGACGCTGTTGCCATAGCAACTCTTTTGGCTCCAGTCTCTTTCTGTCAAAAAACCCTAATTTAATATCCCCATTTGCAACATCTAAAGTGAGACAAAGGGTTCTACTTTGAACAGACATAGTTCCCATATTGTCTTAACTCCCATCATTAGATTGGGTGGGGTAGATGGTTCTTGGTTTGAGACAAAAACTGGGAATTTCAGGTTTTATTAAGACAGCACCAGTGACAAAACTGTTGTCATGGCAACAGCACTAAGGGTATCATTTTTGAGTTATTTTTTTTGTAAAAAAAGTACCTCTTAGTCGGCGCGTTGGGTATGTTATGGACAGGTCAATGGATGAGTGAGTGAGTGAGTGAGAGATGTATGTATGTCACACCAATCAGATTGGATCTACTATAAACAGCCAATCAAATTTCTTGTTGCAAAGGTAAATGGTATGTGAGAAGATTAGATCCCGATAGAGTTCAGAACGACCATATTCATTCTTCTATAAAAGAGGAGGAAGTATTCATATATTGGGTTCACGTCAACATTTTCTGTGGGTTAGCCTGAGGATTTTAGTTATGAACGAGATGAGCCTTTGAGGTTTGAAACAGTTCGTGAGTTAGTAGTATGCAAATTGAATGAGATATTTTTATTTTTAGTTACAAAGGTAACTTGATACTTTTGCTTTTCACAAGGAGTAAATTCAATTAGGAGGTCACGAATCGTCACTTCTAGTTCTTAGGACATGTTTTAGAGGAGACGAGACTATTTAGATTTGAAACAGTTCTAACGTTTACAATAGTAAGTGCA